TGTTTTTTATTGTTAAGTGTTCATGTGTGAATATGTGTAAGAAAGTGATTGCTTATGGTACCATATGAATTCAGAGTCAACAACTAACTGCAGATTGTCCACGTGGGTGGCTGAGATAGTGACATCTTTGCCTTCTAATAGTTCAATGTGCACAAACTTTGTTTCATGCACAAATTATTTAAAAATTACCTTCAGGCTATGTGTATAAGATGAATATGACACATAAATGAATTTCATGTTTAGATTTGGGTCCTGTCCCTCAGATAGCTCATTATGTATATGCATATCCCCAAATTCAAAAAAATTTTGAAATCTGAAACACTTCTGGTTCCAAGCATTTTAGATAAGAGATACACAACCCGTACTATGCTTGGGATCTGTACACGTCATCATAAATATCTTGACACCAACTTTGTGAGATAAAATCACCCCTGAGTCTTAGTGGAGCAAATTGCCTGCGAGTTGTTCGGTTAGTTAGCCAAGAGCAGAACTTGCCATGGTCGGGCTAGGAATTGGTTCCAGCTCTGTCCAACTCCAAAGCCTGTGCTCTTAATTACGCTGCCTCTGCTGTACTCATAACCCTGTTAACAGCCATAAATCCAACTCTGTCTGTTAGACCCAGTAAATCTCAAAGTGGAAAATCATTTTTCTAATAAAACTGCACTTAGAAAAAAATGATGTTAATGCTTGTACATTCTACCCTCATTATGACATCAACCTCTGAGCCAAACTATTTTGCACGTTATAAAGAGCTGTTTTTATGATGAATGGGGATTATATTGACACTTTAATTGAGTTAGAAACCAAGGTACATGAATGTTAGTGCACAAGAAGCGCAATAAAAAAAAAAGCTGTTCAATGTGGTTGGAATGCATTAGGTTAATTTAGTACCACATTTAAATCCTTTAAGTCTGTACCTTTAAACATGTTTTTATCACACTGTTAGATGAAATACTTATATACATATGTATGTACACGCAGTTTTCTGCTGAAAAAAAAAACCCCAAAAACTCTTCCTTTTCTTTTAATTAGGCTTTATCACATTCTTAACAGATCTGGTGTACGATAACATTGAATTACAAGATTGTGATCAAAACCCTTTCTTTGCTATAGGAATGGAACAGTTGCCCCCTTACATTCAAATATGGCAATCTAGGAAGTTGGCATATATTTGGATAAAGTTATGTAAACTTTTTAAAAAGCATTTTCACAGTAGTGTTTTTGAAATATGGGCAATTCTAGCCATATTTAATTATTTATTTTATTTCTTTTGTTCTAGTTCAAATTTGTCCATCATTTTTTTTAAAAAAACAAACCTACTTAACTCACATACCTTTAAAATTAGTACTTGTGTTCTGCTTGATTTAGCATTCAGCAAATTAAAGAGAGTTTATTATAATTTATGGTTTGTGGTTTCCCGAAGGTCAAATCTCCATTTCAGAAAAATAACATGGTATTTAAATTATTTAGTCAAATTGGAAGCCTTAGACAAAGTTGAAGTCCCTAGGCTTTGTGAAAATGAGATGTCCCATATTTTGCTCTTGACTAATTCAACCAGAATGATAGAGCTGTCAGCATAAAAGTTAAAGCACACTGTGGGGATTTAAAAAACATTATTGGGATGAGTGTTTCGAGGAATTAATTTGCTGGAGTTGTGTTGTGCACTGTGCTACAATTTTAATGTTGTGAAGTGTGCATTAAATAGTTCCCGTCAAATTTGGCTGTGAATGATTCCGAGGGTTCCTTTTGTTATAAATTACTATTTCCTAAAATGCTTTTCCAGAGAAGCAATGAAACTCTTTTAGATTTGGAATGTTTCAAGAGCCAGTCTTACCAGCGGTTGATTTTGAGCTAGCTCCAGCATTTATACGAACTCATAAAACAAAGCAAAGTTGAGGGTGGCCCATTTGTTGTTATTCTGTTTTCCTCAAACTGAAATTTCTCCTTCAGTTCTGGTGCTGCTTCTGCCCCAGCTAACTCATCTGATAAGGCAGGGTGATAGCTGCTTGGTCACATATCTGGTGATAATGATTTGAACTTTTGCATAAAAAGTCCCTTGGTACTGCTAGTGCCCCACCCTCATTCAAACATGCAGCATTAACGTAAGAACTACAACTACTTCTGTGGGCAAATCTAGATTCCTCAGATGGAGTCACTTGAGAAGATACAGCTTAAAATGGCAAAAGGAAGGGGGACTAGTCATTGCATATTCCTAGAACTTGAAGCTAGAGGGAACATTATGAAATATTTCCAGGTGTGTTGTATGAATTTACGGGAGATTCTTTTTGCTATAGTTAGTTATCAGGCAAAAAGTTGCTGTTCATTATTTTGGCTAGAGTTCCCAGGTTATACTAGTAGTTTCTGGATCATTCAGGAGAAGGCATCTTTGGAAGATGACCCTGTGAGAGTTGAGATATTTTGCTGTGATCCCACTGATGTCTGTGACATTTCAGCAAATCAGAATTCTGCAGGTTCCTTTGGGGTTGTTTTGAATTTCCCCTCGGTTCTTTCTGTTCTTTTTATGGTCTCACTCTGCCTTTGTTTTACTACTTAAAAATACCTAGAGGCCCACTGGAGGTTTTACCAGAGGCCCATGTTAAACTGACCATCAAATAAACTAGTTGTTTTTGTTATTGCTGAATTTTAAAATGCAAATAGACAGAAGGCTGTTTCCAGCCAGGTCTGATCGCCAGCTCCTCCTTGCTTTGGCAATTCCCAGCAGCTAGCATGATAAGGGGACCATCTTTATGTAAATAGGAGCAGTAATTTATATTTCCGCCAGCTGCAGAGGGCATCAGAGTTTCGATCTTGACTTTCAGACGGGTCTTTCTCAAAATGGTTGTTGCAGCCACATTTGTACTTGGAGGCCCATTTAGAAAAGAGAAACAGGACAGGACATTGGCGTGGGGACTCCAGAGACTGGGCTAAGTTAATTAGTTCAAACTGGCCTTACGGGGGAACCCGGGCACAGATTGGCTCTGGGTGGTCCTGGGCATCTGGCTCATCCAAAGCTCTGCCTCGTAGGACAAGGCACCTCTGCCAGGCAGTGGAGGGAGGGCAGGGGTGTGAGCACGAGATGAGGCTGCAGTCTGTGGTTTACTTAGGCTTGACAAAGGAAAAATTCTAAGTTAGACACATTCTAGAATGAATCTGACACCTTAAGTTTCCTTTAAGTTTCCTCAGCAATACCTCCTTTATTTGCTTTTTCTCAACACCCAAAGGCCCCAGTCTTTTAGGTTCCTCTTGTAGATTCTTGATTATTTAGGGAGGAATCTTCCAACACAAGAAGAATCGTTGAGAAATGGGATTATGTTGACAGGCTTGACCGGAAAAGAGACGTTAGTTTCAGCCCAGTGCTAGGAGTGAGGCAGTTTTCTTGCAGGAACGATAAATCTGCCACCAGATGTCTCTGTAGCCCACTCTACAGGAATGCCAAGGCGCACCACAGGCTGGAACCTGAGTTCTCGGGTGAACTAGTGGTGCGTTTCCTAATTTAACAAATTAAGCAGAAATGAGCGAGTGTGCGTGTGTGTGATTGTGTGTGCGAGTGTGTGTATCTTCTTTCCCGAGCTGCCTCATAGAGTGTTTCACTAATTCCTTGGTCATCCGTTTCCCTGCACTGAGTCTCTTCCTAAAAGTCATAGAAGAGTTGCAGGGTGCTCCCAGAACAGGAGCGTAAACATTGGCAGATGCAGGCAAAGATAGTGGCAGTGAGGATTGCTACGCTCTCTCTCTCTTTCCCTAAGGTGGCTCTTGGGTGCTGTCACAATGCTAGGGACAGGTAGGAGATGCCACTTCCCTGGGCTGTCTGCTGCTCCCCAGCCAATCTGCAGATGGTGGCTCAGGCTCTGTGGGGGGGATGCCGCATTGAAGGGCTGCCCATGAGCACTGACAACAATGATTTGCTTTACTGTTTGTGTAAATTCATTTTAGGGGCTTTAAAGCATTTCAGTGGAGGAACAACTGGCAAGTTAATTAGGCAAATTAAAAATATTTCCAGGAAAGAGAGTTGATGGTTAATGTGGTATGTGTTTGATCTTTGAAGCAGGAGATGCTGAAAACATCCCACCAATCTAATCCCAAAATAGTTCAGGGAAAGAAAACCAGCCAGATTAATTGTTTAGCTAAATTGGGCGTCTACCCCATCAGGCTGATCTGCCCTGGGTTCAGTGATTTAAACTGTTACTGCCATTCCATGTGCAGTTTGAGAGACCTGTAGTGACAGTATGTGACACATAAAATCTCCACAAGGCACTCTTCTCAGCTGTCTTCTGGCTGTCCTTCTGCCATGCCAGGCGTGACCACACAAATACACAGCCTTTGAGGAGCAGGTGACTGTTTACAGGGGGCGTTGCTCATCTGCATTGCTGATTTTAGCTTAGTTGTTTGACAATGATCTTAACAGACTTAGGAAATTTTTCAAAGAAAAGGCTGGGATACAAAAATAATAGTCAGTCAATGGGTGAGTTGGTATCTGAAGAAAACAAGAGAACATTTAATATAGAACAACCAGCAATGAAATATAATCTAAAGTGATTCATACTCAAGATATCACCATCGTCAACAGTGGCACTCTGTCTCTTATGTTGGGTGGAATTTGGGATACTTAATGCAATCCTGATCTTATTCCAAAGAAGATATAGCCTTCAGGAATTTTCATAAATTCTATCCTCCCTGCAAAAGCACGATATCTTATTTTAGAAACATTAGTTCAGGATGAATTTTATGAAGACAAGATGGAAACCTTTGGTGTGAATCCCAGTGCTCAGAGGTTCTGTCAGTCAAGAATGATGCACTATGATTCTTTCTTCCCAGCTCACAGGGGCCGGTGAAGAGAGGATGGAGGTGCCCCAAGGAGGTCTGCGCCTCGGTAGACAGCACTATCATCAGAAGGAGCAAAACGACTCTTTTGAGGCCCCCAGTGAGAGGCCCTATTCCCTGAAGATCCGAAACACTACCAGCTGCAACTCGGGAACATACAGGTGCACTCTGCAAGTGCTGGAAGGGCAGAGAAACCTAAGCGGCATGGTGATCTTGAAAGTGACAGGTGAGGTGACCTGCTGCACTTGTTTTCTTCTTGCAAAATGCGTGTGCACTTCCTACAGGTCCTAAAATCAGTCCTCTTGTTTGGAGTTGAGCTCTGCAGCTTTGGATCATATCTGTAGCCGAAAGCTGAACTCTGCTGCACAATGTTATATTTTTTCTTTATGTGGCTTAAACTACGCCTTTTGTTTGACTTTTGCCCAACACTTGTTAGGGGCTGAGGCTGGAAATGACAAACATGTTGTTGTCATAGAGCCCCTGATTTTGTGCAGTAGCTACTTTCTCCTCTGTCTGGTAGCTGAAAGGAATTGGACTCAGGATAATATTCTTATTCTCACAAAAACACATTCACTGTTTAAGGGGGCACTGTTTTAATATTGCTTGCTGTTATATGTGCACACACACGCGCACACACACAGTACTCTTTTTATACTCCTTAATCTCCAGCCATTTATTCTGCTTCATTTGTCTTTCTGGCACTTATTACACCTGGCGTGTTATATATAGGTGGGCATGCTATGTATAGATGACCATGCTATGTATAGATGGTCATGTTATATATAGAGGGACATGTTATATATAGATTGGCATGTTATATATAGATTGGTTTATTGTCCATTTCCCCTAAGAGAGCAAGAACTTCTGTTTTATCCTCTGCTGTATCTTGGCACACAGTGGGCCCTCAATGAATATTATTCATATGAGTGAGAAATAAGAATCACTTTGGGGGAGGAGCAGAGAGGTGAGGTTTGTCCATCAGGGAGCGGAGAGGAAATGAACAGAGAACAGCTGATTTTCTCTCCCTTTTTTCTTCAAAGGCAATGTTGCCTACAACTGAGGGGGTCAGACTCTGGAATCACTTAGATCTGGTTCAAATACTAAGTCTGCCGCTCGTTAGCGTGTGACCTTGGGCAAATGGCTGATAGACTCTAAGCCTCAATTCTCTCCTCTGTAAAATGGGGCTAACAACCTCTGCAGCACAGGCTCATTGCTAAGGTTAAATGCGACATTGCACTAAATACTTAGGGCAGTGCCTGGAGTAGGCTGAATGCTCAGTAGATGTTCGGGACCCTTAGGACAAAGGCTGTCAACATCTTTTCTTGAGTCGCAGACCCCTGCGAGAATCCATCCCTAGACTATTGCATGAAATGTTGACTCCAATTTCAAATCCGTAGGCCTCAAGGTAGGAGCTCCTTCGGGTCATCTGCATCCCACCTGCTCCTGCCTGGGCTCTGTTAGCAACCACGCTACAGCCCAAGCTGAACTTGCTTCTCCAGATAGCACATTGGATGTCACCCCTGAGTGGGGAAAGGCCGTCCGCTTTATGTCTGCCCCTGGACTGAAGGCCTCCCTCCTCCTGCCCTCCTTGAATGCTGCAGCCACAGCCTTTAACAAGCCCTGAAGGAGCTGTCCCCTCTCCCCCTATGTTGCCTGCTTTGGTGGAAGAGCTTGAATGAGTCTACAAAACTGTGTAGTCGTATGCAGCACCAGCAAGGCAGCTCCCATGCCTCATGTCATAGTCCCTGGACCCTCCTGAGGGGAGGACTCATAGTCTACCCAACACCAATGAAGTTACGATAACTTGTGGATTAACCAGTGCTGCTTCACCTGATGTGAAGACAAAGTGAAAGCCAGGAGAGGCCTGACATGGGAAATGGAGCAGACAGGGGGCAGGATAAGTCTGGCTCTGCCACCTGCCCTCAGCCTCTCTGAACTTCAGTGCTTCATCTGTAAAATGGGAATACTCACGCCTGCTCTTAAGATTCAGGGAGACACTGTGCAAATCCCATTGCACACAGCCATACACAGAGTGACGGTGAACGCTGCTGTCACCACTGCCATCTCTGTAACCATGACTGCTGTCCATCCTGATGGCACAGACGGGAGGGTGGGGATGGGAGACAAGTCGGGCTTGTAGGGACAAAGCATTCTTAGCTTGTTATCATGGTAGAAATATCCTGTTAAAATGGCTTCATATGGGGCCGGCCCGGTGGCACACTGCTACAGTGCGCCGCTTGGGAGCGCAGTGGCGCTCCCGCCGAGGGTTCGGATCCCACATGCAGACCAGTTCCCGCTCACTGGCTGAGCAAGGTGCGGGCGCAACACCGAGGGTTGCGATCCCGTTGCCGGTCCCGGTCCGGTACGGGCGCGACACTGAGGGTTGCGATCCGTTGCCGGACACGAAAAAAGACAAAAAGGAAAAAAAAAATGGCTTCATATGTTACTTTTTTTTTTAAAAGGATGCCCTAAGGATCGTAAAGAAGGGAATTTTAAGAAATACAGAGCTGAGGTTGTACTGCTGTTGGCTCTGGTGGTTTTCTACTTAACACTCATCGTTTTCACTTGTGTAAGTAACTTTTTTAAACATCTATTAGTATTAAAAGATGGCCTGAGGACACCAGTCCCAATACAGATGTAGATGGTGTGAATCATTTCATAATGGTGAAGGGGATTCTTTGCTGAACCCGGGACATACTGAGGCCCCTGGACTGGGAGAATCATTACAGGAAGCCAGAGAGAATGTTTCCAGCTTGTTTTTTGTCTAGTGGCTATGCATAGAGCATTGTGAAAAGAAAATTAAATAAGATATGTGAAGGAAGTTTGAGACATGCCAGTGGAGCCTATTAGAAACCAGAAGGCCTGGTAGTTACAGTGTGAGAAGTGACCACGCCAACTGCTCTCCATCCCAGGGCACAGGCCCTGTTCTTCCTGTGGGCAAGGGAGCAAGCCCTGCCCCCCCAGGGATAGACCAGTCTCCCATGCCTGCCCTAAGATTGTTTTCCCTTGGGGGTTCTCCCCTTGTATTTTTGGTACTTTCACCCCCTCCTTAAGAATTAACCCCAAGAAGCCAGAGCAGCGCGGCACACAGGAGTCTCTTGGGGTGGAGGGTAGCTGGCCAGTGCTTGGGCTTCCTGGACATATCTTGAGCTATTGGTTGCAGGCTCCAGCTAAAAGCCCTCTGAGTCTGTTAGCACATGGCTGCTCACGTGGCTTGAGCACAGTCCAGTTGTGGGCCTGAGCCCCTAGGATGTGACCTACCTGATGAGCCTCAATATCACCAGGAGGGCTGGCTGCTTAGGGAGCAGGACAGACCTCACCCAGGACCTATCCCAGGGCTGGTTCTTGTCGCTTACTGTGCCCTTCCATTTATTTACTTACCTCTGTGGCTGAGCACTCATTGCTCTGGATTCTATTTTAGACATCCATCAGAAGACTCCATTGAGCACCTGCTGTGTACATGGCATTATGCTAGGCAATGTATGGGATATAAAAAAGTGTGAGACATTGTTCCCGCCCCCCAGGAGCTTACAGTTTGGTTGCTAGTGTTATTTGCACATACAAGGATAATTAAAATCACCAGACAGTAAATTTTAAAAATGAATGACTTTAGTTTCTGGTTGGCAAATGCCCTCTTCTGTGGCATTTGCCCACAGAGATATCTGACAGTAGGGGCTTGCAGTGGCTGCAGTCTGTAATCAGTGACTGTCCTGTGGAAGTTTGGGGGTACCAGTGAGATGTAAGTCTCTTGTAACACGAATGAGGTGGCGAGTGTAACGAGGGCTTCCAGAATGAGTCGTCCAGCCAGCACTCAGTGGATGGGCTTTAAACTCAGGTGACAACTGCTGCATTTTTCCAATCATTCACTTCTCAACTTCTCTCTTTTATTTCATCTTTTTCAGAAGTTTGCACGACTGCAGAGTATTTTTCCGGATTTTTCTAAACCTGGCATGGAACGAGCTTTTCTCCCAGTCACCTCCCCAAATAAGCATGTGGGGCCAGTGACTCTTCACAAGACAGAACTGGTATGAGCCGTATTTCTGCAGGTCATGTTTCCTGAAGTCAAGGGCTCAATGGTGTGTCCCTCCGCCACACTGGACAAGAGAAGAAGGAGCCCACACTGAAGATGGCATCCTTCCTATGATGCCCTTCACCTGGCCGGAAACTTCTGAAAATGGATCCCACCCCACTTTCTGCAAGCAGGACCTTGAAAATCATTATGTGACCACAGAGCATGGGGCCCTCCCAACTTCCTCATGGCCACTGCTTAGTGTTTTATGCAGCCATCTGGTCATCCTCTTGGAAACATTTTCAGTCGTATAAAAGCTATGATGAGATGCAGTTGGAAAGGGTCTTGGGAAATGTGAATGCCCAGAGCTGGCCCGGTGACAGGCTCCTGAGGATAGTTGTCCTCTTTCACATCTGGGAAACATCTCTGTGAATTTGCTGTGTTTGGTTGTGTTGGTCCAGATGTTTTACTTCTGGGAGAAATTGACAGGCCAAGCTGTGAGACAGTGGGAAATATTTAGAAAATAATGTCCTGGTATGGAGGCCCTGCTATTTCTAAAGAGTGTTATGTGTACATAGAAACAACAGGTCAATGAACTGTTTCCCCAGAGGGTCTTTTCATCTGGGAAAAGCATCCATAAAGAAGCAATAGAGTGCCACATTTATTTTTATATCTATGTATACTTGTCGAAGAAAGGACTCGTGTTTTTTTTTCCTTTTGAAATCTCTCTCTACAGTCACATGCCATTGCTTACTGACAAGCAGCCTGAATTTGGAGAGTAAGAACAAGTCAGAGAGGATGGCAACAGGATAGAGAGCTGCTGAGCGACTGCTGGAAGTGTGGGACCCACCACCGCAGTCTGGGTTCCAGCCCCAGCCGTCCCACTGCCTAGCGGTACGACCTGAACAAGTCAGAGAGGATGGCAACAGGATAGAGAGCTGCTGAGCGACTGCTGGAAGTGCGGGACCCACCACCGCAGTCTGGGTTCCAGCCCCAGCCGTCCCACTGCCTAGCGGTACGACCTCGGGAAAGTTCCTTAGGGTTTCTGCTCTCTCGGTTGCACACTGGAAGGCTGGTAGATGGCTTCATTACAATAACGTATTGTGAAAATGCTTTGAAAAAGTGTACGGGGCTATATAACCTCGAAACTCTGTTGGGTCATCATCCTTGCTACTATGTTGGTGTTCTGAGAGGAGGCCTCTCACTCCTCATGTTTTCCACTGTTCCAAACAAAGAAGATGACAAAGGAGACTTTCCCATAGACTTCCCTACGAATTCCTTTGGGGAAGTTGAGGAGGCCACTCTAGTGGTCTATGCTTGACACACCAGCTACAACTACCCCAAGATATGGACATATGGGAGCCACTGGGCCATGGGCAGAGAGGACATCACAAAATGTTGTATTGATGTTTTAATAATTGTTGGGTTTTGCTTATCAAACTTGGCACCTTCTTTATATCTTTTCCAAAGAGATCTTGTCCTTTTAGTAGCATGTGCATTGCCTGCACTAATATTAAAGAGTAAAAGAGATGCCAAGTTGACTCAGTGTTTTTGCCTTTTTGTCATGGCTTTCATGCTATGAAAGGTACCCACATGAACAGGGAGTGTTTTTCATTTTTTAATTTAAAACTGCTCGTGAAACTTTGGGATGAGTGCTGGGATGTCTATAAACTAGTTTGAGAACCAAAATCCAAAATAAGATGGAAGATTGGCTGAGGCCTTCCTCTGGGAGGGGGGCCCTCTATGGCAGACAAACCTCTGTGGAAGAGCATACCTACTTCTCAAAGATGCTGCCAAATCCATTTGGGAGCTGTGTTGCCACCCAGTTAGTTCATGATCAACTTGTGGTAACATGCATGGCCACAGACAGGAGGGGTGTAAAGAAGAGGAGCTTCTGCTTCAGAGAGATGTGGAAAGTCGGGCCTTGTCCCTGGGATTCATGGAGTTTCATTCAAAGTTCTTGAATAGGTCTCTTACCCCCAGAATCTAAGAACAATATGGGGCAAGTGGTTGCAGTAGTTATTAAAGCATCATAAGTGAATGGCTCTTTACCAAGATGAATATACATAAAATATCTCTGAAAGCTGTAGAGTCCCTTTTTTTTTTTTTTTTTACTGACCGGTAACGGGATCGCAACCCTCGGTGTCGCGCCCGTTCCGGGGACCGGCAACGGGATCACAACCCTCGGTGTTGCGCCCGCACCTCGCTCAGCCAGTGNTCGCTCAGCCAGTGAGCGGGAACCGGTCTCCACATGGGATCCAAACCCTCGGCAGGAGCACTGCCGTGCTCCCAAGTGGCGCACTCTCCAGTGCGCCACCAGGCCGGCCCTGTAGATTCCCTTTTAATGGGGATCCATCTAACAACTCCATTCTTAAATGCTTTACCAAAAGTTCTGGGGAGACCCTTTGGCATGGTAATTAACAGCTCAGAGAGTTCTTAGCCACCTGAGTTTGCGCCCTGCTTCATTCCGAGGAAGCTGTACCACCTTGGGCAGGGACTTACCTCTCTAAGCCTTCTTTGGCAGATCTTGAGAGTAAGAATCAGAATGGTATCTGCCTAATAGATTTTTTGTGAGGATTAAATGAAGGGCTAAGCCTAGTGTCTAGCCAATAGTAAGGTCTCTATTGATATTAGAACAAGAAAGGAAGAAAAGAGAGCAGAGGAATTGTCAGCCTCCAGGAATCTTTGACAAAGTGGTTTTGTTCAAAGGAACGAATTGACTTGGTGGGGGAGTCATGTCGCTTTCAGAGCATTAATCCACAGTGAACTAACTGCTTCATGGTCATTAGAATTACAGTACGAAAGGGACCAGGGAGGGGGGTTGTCCATCAATTTAGACTGACTTAAGCTAGAAACATGATGGAAATTTGAGGGTAGGTATCTCAGCATTTCATACCCAGTCTTTGGTATAAGAATCGGTGTGTGTGTGTGTGTGTCAGAGAGAGAGAGAGAGAGAGAGAGAGAGAGAGATCTGGTGTAGAGGGTGGGGAGGGCAGAATTTATCAAGGAGAGTGAGCTGCTTTTCCATTGCCTCAACTGAGGTCTATCAAGATATTTCAGAGGAAGGTAGGTGCTCATGGACCATATTTATTCTCTGTCTCCACTGCCAGGGAAAGCTTTGTTCTCAGGGCTCTCTTTTGCCTGTGGAATTAGATCTACGGTTATAATTCTTTCACCTTGGGCTGTCCTGGGACACAAATACAGACATGAATATCAGCTCCCCATTCTTCCAAAAGAAAGCCTGTGGCTTTTTGTATTCATAATAATACTTAGCGGGTTTTATTATAGAAAATACTGAGCCTCACTCACAGAATCCAACAGAGCCCGATTATCTGCTGGGCTTGCAAGTGAGGAGCTACGACGGCAGCCTGTGGACACAGAGACGGCCATGTGAGGCCTGTGTTTGACCCCACGGCGCAGTGAGCGTCAGGGGTCCCAGAGCAATTCAGTCCGCTTCCCTAGCTCTTTCCTCACTGGCAGTTTTATTTGGTGGCTTTAACTGGATCATTGTTTAATACTTCACCTTTCCTATGTGAAAATAGCCAAAGACCTAAAAATCTTAGGATAGGAGCTGTTTGCTTAATTCACCAGCAATCGCCCCACATAGCTCTGTAACTGATTGTTTGCAGAGCCAGATTCGATCCAATTGGTTGGTGAGATACTATCAGTCGGTTCTTTGGACACAGTCAGCTATTGCTATTTATTGTCTTCTCAAGAGTAGATGTGCTTATTTTCTAATTTTCACCTTTAAATTTCATATGAAATTAAAATTCTACCACCTGACTTTTTGGGATGTGTGTGTGTGTGTGT